CTCACTCTCCCCCTCTTTCTCTTTCTCTCCTCCTGACCCTGCTTGGTTTTCTGGGAATGATGGGGGAGAGTGGGAACCTTTCAGTTATGAAGCTTCCCTTCAACAGACTCAAGTAATTCTTTGGTTGTTTGGTCCAGGACCAGATTTCCTACCTCATGTCATTTAAAGAACCCCAGTAAGAGCTCCCCAACTAGCTCCTACTTGGATGGGGGATGATGTAATCAGTACAGTGTCATCAGGAAATTGCGTTTTGTTGTTTATCTGAAATTATTTCATGAAGAATTCATTCTTGTGGGTTAACATTTGGGTCCTCTGGGAGGGGTAACAATAGTAAGAAATCACATTTATACAGCACTTTGAGGTTTTCAAAGTGCTTTATATACATTATAGCTCTTGATCTGTTATTATCCAATTTCACAGATCATAGATTTAGAACTGGAAGGGACTTCAGAGGTTATTTAGTCCAACTCCCTCATTTTACAGCTAAGGAAACTGAGGCCCAGGGAAGTTAAGGGACTGACCCAGGGTCACACAACTACTAAATGCCTGAAGTGGGATTCAAATTTCTAAGGCCAAGGCCAGTACCATACTGCCTCTCTACAACCAGAGTAAACTGTCCTCACTCTTTCATGCCTTATTCAGAGAGAGTTGATCTGATCCACAATCAGCAGGGCACTATGGGATAGGGAATTTCAAGATAGAGGTCATTTTGGCTCTTGGGATCTTGTCCAGAGGCTGGACAACCAGTAGTCAGTTATGTCAGGTATGGTAAGGATTAAATTAGACGGCTCCCTTCTATCCCTCAAATGCTAGGGAATAACAAATTCTGCTGTGGGATCCTATGGAGACACTGGGTCTTGGGGTGCAGTAGGGGAGTGAGACAGCTGCTATCTTTGATTTGTACGAATAGTCAGTAGCAAGAAAATCTCAGAAAGAAAAAGGTGATGGATGGGTCTCAGAAACCATTTTGCTTTTGATAGACTCTGGCTACATCTTGGATTGAATATTGTGCTGTGTCGGAGAATTTATGGGGTTTATCAGGAAACCTTGGCCAAATCAATGACCTTACATCCCCCTGCATTCTTTTCTCTTAATAATCCCTTATTTGGAATAATAGGAGCCAGAGGAACTTGGGAATACTCAACAGATAACAATCACGACCAAGTAAATTTGAAGGCAGAGGACCTAAGTTTAAACCCTGGGTGTGCTACTCATTAGCCTTGTGACCTTGAGCAAGTTTCTTTGCATCTCTGGACCTCAGTTTACCAGTCTGTAAAGTGAACAAGTTGAACTAGCTAATTTCTATGATCTTGTGCAGATCTAAAATTTATGATCCTTTGAACTTTTCTCAGTCAATCTGTGGGCTTAACTAGAAAAAGCCTACGTGTTCATCCCCATAGGATAACTTGTGGGTGATGCCATACTGGGTGCTTCAGTTAGAACCTGGCACGAATCACAGTGCCAGCCAAGGAGTAGAATTCCAAGAGTACACAACTAAGTGGGATGATGGTTAGGCCAGGTTAGGGTGCGCTCATCAAGGCACATTTCTTTGTTTTTGGTGAGGCGATCGGGGTTAAGTGACTTGCCCAGAGTCACACAGCTAGTGAATGTTATGTGTCCGAGGTCAGATTTGAACAAAGATCCTCCAGACTCCCAGGTCGGTGCTCTATTCGTTGTGCCACCTAGCTGCCCCTCATCAAGGCACGTTTCACACAGAACCAAACTGCTGATAGCAGACTGGGAAACAGATTGGGGTTCATAATGGTCTGTTAGTTTGAAATTTAAGTACTACTAGGAAGTAAGAGCAATAGGATTCTGGGAAGTATGCTATATCCACATGGCATGTTCTTGAAAACACTGATTTTTTTTGTAAATCAAACTGAATATTAAATACAGTTCAGGAGCTGACTTTCAGTCTGTTGGTCAATAATTATTTATTAAATACTTACTATGTGCCAGGCACTGTGCTAAGCATGGAGTAGCTAGATAGCAAAGTAGAAAGAGGGATAGACTTGGAGTCACATAATACCTGAGTTCAAATCCAGCCTTAGATAATTCTGAGCTGCGTGACCCTAGGCAAGTTACTTAACCTTTGTCTGACTCAGTTTTCTCATCTGTAAAATAGGGATAATAATAGCTAGCATCTACCTCCCAGGGTCATTATAAGGATCAAATGAGATCATATTTGTAAAGCCATTTGCAAACCTTACTGCACCATATAAATGCTGCCTATTATCATCATTATTAGTATAATATTTTATTATATGTAATTATGACATAATTGAAATGTAGTTGTCAAAAGAAAAAATTTTTAAAGAGTTAATGGTCCCTAGGTAAAAAACCCCTAGGCTATAGGAACCCTTCACTAACACTTTTTGTAAAGTGAATTAGCCAAAATTAAAATAAATTATCCCTTCCTCTCCCAAACCCTCCTTTTGTCATATGGGTAAATCTATCTTTTTTGTAGTGTTTTTGGTCTTCTGGGGGCAATCATTTTCTCTCCCCTCAATACCCGAGGACATTACCATGTATTAAAGGATTAAGTTGTCCTGTCATCAATCATTAAAGAAACTCATCAATCATAATACAGATGCTGACAGTTTAATGGAATTGGCTCACATAGCCTAGGTCCCTTCCCATGACACTGCTTGGTGTTTGGAGGATCCTGGCTATCCAAAGAAGTCTAGGGCAGGAGATAAGAGGCATGAGTGTGTAGCAGCTCTCTGAATGTGTGTCCTGGACCTCTGCTGATCATAACAGCAAAGCTCTGAAGCCGAGAGGTCAGCTAGTCCAACACCCTCATTTTACAGATGAGGAAACTGAGGCCCAGGGAAGTTGTGATGGGTTCACATGGATAGTGAGGATCAGGGTCAATTTGAACCCAGTCCTCTGACTCAGAAGCTTGTGCTTTTTTAAAAGTAGCATGCTGCCCTCCAGTACCAGGGTAATAGTAATTGGAAATGTGCTTGTGGAGTAGGGGAGGAATAGCTCCCAGGGTTTCTTGCCTTTGTTTGCTAGAGCAGTGGGGGACTTGCATGCCATTGATACAGCTGTGCTGCTTTGTACCAGCTGAGTGACACTCTTCTGCTTCTGCCATACCTGGGAGAGCACCTCTCTTACCCTAGGAAGTGGGTTCATCTAGTAAAGGGATTCTTAGGAAAGCTGAGCAGAGTTCTGTCCAATAGACCAGGCTAACAAGGCGACTGAATAGCCTGATTTGGGGGAATCCTTATGGTTGATTTGTACCCATAGTCATTAACATTTATTAAGTGCATCCTATGTGTCAGGCACTGTGCTAAGTATTGGGGATACAAAGAAAGGAAAAATATAGATCTTGACCTCAAGGAACTTACATTCTAACGTAAGGGGAAGCTTCAAATAGGGGAAGACAATACACAAAGGGAGTTGAAAAGAGAGGAGGGGAGAGGGAAGGAAATCTCTTAATTAGGAGCCAGCTGTTCAGTCGTTTTTCAGTCATATTTCACTATCTGTGACCCCATTTGGGGTTTTCTTGGCAGAGACACTGGAGAGGTTTGCCATTGCCTTCTCCAACTCATTTTACAGATGAGGAAACTGAGGCAAACAGGGTTAAGTGACTTGCCCAGAGTCACACAGCTAGTAAGTGTTTGAGGCCAGATTTGAACTCAAGATGAGCCGTCCTGACTCCAGGCCAAACACTCTATCTGCTGTGCTACCTGTGAAGTGCTGGGTGTGACTCTGTGCATTCTTTAATGGTTCAAAGATCTGGTATTTCATGAGTGTATGTACATCTTCATCAAGGCCAATTGAAAGTACTCTAGAACTTAATAGATGCTCTTGAAATTTGCAGCAAATAAAAAATGAATCACCTTCTGGCCAACATGGTGATGTTTATCATGCAGACTGATCTTAATTATTTTAGTACATCCATGATCTCATCAAGGAGGTACACCCTTCAAAGGTACAGATCATAGCATATCTGAACTATCTCACCCTGCACCCATTTTTTTCTACGTCTTTCCATAAATCCTCCACAAGGCATCTACCCAACATGTCAGAGGCTTCCTCTGGGTTACTGGTGAAACACTTAGACTGTCAGTGGGCTATCTCTAACTCTTGCTACATGAGAAGCCCACCTCCTTTTCTGGCCATATGCCCCTTTGGGGATATCTTTTAGGTTACTTCATATATGTGATTCATGGCTCAAAATCTGCTACAGCCTGTTTTATGCCCACTACACATCTATCCATGGACATGTGAATGACCCACAATTTTAATTCCTTATAGACTGTGGTATACAGTCAACACTATCACTGAGTCCTCACTGTGAAAAAAGCACTATACTAAGCACTGGGACAGTATTGTCAGAAAAATGTTTGATAAAGATTTGGGAGTGTCAAACTCTCTGATTTACACTCATTTGATACTGATAACCAGAGGGTCATCGTAGTTATTTCTGTCATGTCCATTAAGAAATCTTGAAAAAAAAAAGAAATCTTGAACACATATTAATAGAGCTTTTATGACTTTATCTTGCTCCGCCAAATTTTTTCTTTTTATTGGTACATAAGCTTGGCTGGGTGGAAAATGTAACAGATTTGGAATTAGAGGAATGGGTTCAAATTCTGGCTTCATTTACTTAAGATATGTATGTCCTCAGGCAAATCACTCAACCTCTCTGGACCTCAGTTTCCTCATATGTAAAATGAGGAGACTAGACAATAATGATTTCAAAATTCCCTTTCGCATCCAATTCTATGAACAATAAATGGGATCTTTTATTCTCTGTACCTTTCAGTCAATTTTGTGACTAAAAAGAGTGGTTTGGGGTAGGATATCATTTGGGAACATTTATCTTTTCTCTTCTCATATTGTCACCAGGGATACACTCAATTGTGTGAAGACATCGTTTTCAAAAAGGCTTTGTAAAAGACAAGAAAATAGGCATATGAGTTGCAGTGGCAGATATTCTCTTGGTCACTTTTTTTGTGTATTAGCAACATTCATAATTTTTTAAAAATCTCCCCCTCTTTCAGATATCTAGAGAACTGGTTCTTCAACACCTTCAAAATATGTCACTTCCAGAACAGAAATCCCTCTAAGTGTATTTAATCTGGTCCAGTTGCTCTTCCCATCTTTGTTTGTGTTTGTTTGTTTATATATCATTCCCATTTCTTCATGTAGCACATTGGGGACTGTGATGTTAGATTTCAAATGTAGAAGTTCCACTGTCAGTGATCAACAAAACAGTTTGTCATAGAAATCAATAGATATTTTCCACTTAAAATTTTTTAAAATATTTTTCCAATTTCATCATTAAATGCTCTTGGAGTGATCTGGCTTAACTAGATATCATGCCAAAATTTGTTTTTTCCTCCACCACTTCTTCTTGTTTTATGAATTGATATGTTTCATAATTCCCCCTGCACAAGACTTTACAAATGAGTTTATATTCTCAACTGGTTTTGTCCTTGGCAAAACAGGGTATGCTGATAAGTTTTTTTTAACAACTGGCACACCAAAAGAAAAAGCAAACTTTTAAGTTTAATCTGCATTATTCATATTTTCTCCATCACTTTCTAAAGTCTAGATAATCAACAAACAATAAATCAAGTCTTGATTTGTAGCAATTGGCAATTTTCAAAGTATAAATGCTCAACTGAAAATTTTTCAATCAGCTCTCCTGAGTTGGTAGAAATTAGTTCCAACATACCTCATTAGTAAGTGTCATGTGTCTAAAGACAGATTTGAACTCAGGTCCTCCCGACTCCAAGGCCAAAGCTGTATCTACTGCGCCACCTAGCTGCCCCTGCCATATTTCTTAAATTCATATCATTATAGATAATGCCATAATCCACATTGATATCTGTTCCTTTCTCCATTTCATGTTTCAGTATCTCTGGTATAGTTAAATAGGTCAAATTGTAGCTGTTTTGAGTACATACCCCATGTTCTCATTTTTATTTTAATTTGGCATCAATTTTGACCTCTGATCTAACAAGCTGATTCAAAAATTACTCCAAAATTTTGGTCTCTGCTAGGATATAATCAATTTCATACTTTTAGTGATAGTAGTTGGCATTTACCATGTACAGTGCCTCCTACTTAACTTCCAGAAGGAAATATTCATAATATTTAGGTGTGTAGATTTATCATGCTTTAACCTCTCTGATTTCTTTGTCCTCAGCAATATTTTCCAACATATTCCCCATACCCCGCCCTTTGCAGTGAAGTCACTGAGAATTGATTTGATTTGGAATGCCTTGTCAAAGTTCTTCTTTATACATCTATGTCTCTGCATCTTCTGTACCAGATGTGTTGACATGTAAGTTGTAATGTTTTATAGTGGTCATTTTGCTTACTTAAGACAAGATGACCAAACATCTCATGACCTGATGTTTCTAATTACTTTGGGATACACCAAAAACTAGCTTGGCCAACTCCTTTATTTGTCTTTTCGAAGAAAGCCTGTGATCTATTTACACTTACAAACTGCAACTTCCTTATGCAGATTAGTTTCATTTGTAAGAATGTCATAATGGGTATGATTCAATCCTTCCAGCTGTAGACATTGGATAAGAATGTCACATTTAGAGTACCAAAAGCTAAGTTATTATTTATAGACAGACTAAAAAACTGTGATTCTTAGCACCCTTTGCCTCCTTTTCTTCCCTTCTGCCAGCATCATTTTAGGAGACTGAACAGGACTGAGAGCAATTTTTAAATTTTCCTTTGTTTCATCATGTGTTTTTGTTCATACCTGTGATTTCATCAGATTTGGGAAGTCCCAGGGTGGAAACTCCTTCTACCAATACACATTGGCCGCTCCTCTGTAATTTATAGTCCCAGGAAGCATTAAGAAGTTAGGTAAACAGCTACTGTAAATCAAAAGCAGTACTGAAACACAGGTCTTCCTGACTGCAAGGATAATCTTCTATCCATTATTCCCAAATGCTTCTCATCATCATCATAGCTAACTTTATATAGCACTTTGGGGTTTTCAAAATACTTTTCACATATTATCTTATTTGATCACCGTAACATCCCTATGAGGTAGGTACTACAGGTATGTTGTTGTTGTTTACTCCTTTTCAGTCATGTCGAACTCCTCATGACCCCTTTTGGAATTTTCTTGGCAAAGATATTGGAGTGGTTTGCCATTTCCTTCTTCAGCTCATTTTACGGATGAGGAAACTGAGGCAAACAGGGTGAAGTGACTTGCACAGAGTCATACAGGTAGTAAGGATCTGAGCTGGATTTGAATTCAAGTTTTCCTGACTCCAAGCCCAGCATTCTATCCACTGTGCCACCTAGCTGCCCCACTACAGGTATGCAACTCCTCATTTTAAAAGTAAATTAGCATAGAGAAAAGTAACTTATCTCCTTTCTGCACAGTTAAAAGTGTTGGGGGAACTATATGAAAGATTGTTCCATGTAGCTAATAATTAGAGAAATATGAATCAAAACAACTTTAAGGTTTCACCTCACATCCAGAAATTTGACAAAGATGACAAAAGATGAGGATAGTCAATACTGAAAGGGTTGTGAAAAGACAGGGACAGTAATATGCTGTTGGCAGAGCTGTGAAGGGCTATCAAGCTATGAAGAGGATAGCTTGGAATTATGCTAATAAAGTGACTAAAATATCCATGCCTCTGAAATCAGAAATCCCGATAACTCAGGGAGGTCATTGATAAAATGAGTATAAAAAGACTCCACAAAAAAAAAAAAGGCTCCAGAATATTTAGAGTAGCCTTTTTGCAGTAGCAAAGAATTGGAAACAAAGTAGATCCCATTGCAGTGGAGAAACAAAGCATGGTACATGAATGTAATGGAATGCTGCTGCCCAAATGGTGACTATGAAATGTAGAGGGAGGAATGAGGAGACCTAGATGAACTGAGTCAAAGGGAAGCAAGGAGAATCAGGAAAATAATATTTACAATGACTACAATAATATAAATAGAAAGAACAGCAATAAATCAAAACCAAATACTGTGTAATTATGACAACCAGACTTGACGCCCAAAAGAAGATTTACGGCTATGCATCTCCTTCTCTTTTTTGCAAAGGGGGAAGTGGCACTGAGAAAGAAGGATGAGACTTTGGGTGTGAAACAATGCATATGCTATTGGCCTTAATGGATGTGTTGATTACTTTTACTGAGCTAGTTTTTCTTCCTTTCTTTTTTATTCTTTGTTATGAGAGAATACCCACTCTCTGAGTGAGGGAAGGGATATATTGGGAAATGAAGGTCATGTGAAAATAGAACATATCAATCATTTTTTTTTAAGTGTCAAAGCCAAGACTATGAACCTAGGTTTCTGTAGGCTCCAAGTCCAATATTCAATCTACTAAACTATATTGCCTGTCTTTATAGGTTGCCATGGCCAAATATTAATTATTATTATCCATCTAGGTAATTCTTTTACAGGTCCTCCCATGTGCTAGGGGCCTTCCTCAAGTTCCCCTGACATCTTGAGGAGACCAATCCAGCTTCATCAGTTCTATCCATCCCTCTCAATACACGACTAGCCCATCTTCTTTTTCAGTTGTACTTGATGCAATCCTTTATATTGTTCTTCCTTCATAATTACCTGTGTATAATGCATGGCTGCCTGCATGTCCCTGTTTCTCTGTGGGTGACCCTCAACTTCAACTCTTCGGATGATCCTTGGCAATCTGGATTTCAAGCTCATTATTCAGCTGAAACTTCTCTCACCAATATTACCATGGTGTTTTCATTTAGTTGTTTTTCAGTTGTGTCTAACTCTCATGACCCCATTTGGGATTTTCTTGGCAAAGATACTGGAGTGGTTTGCCATTTCCTTCTCCAGCTCATTTTACAGAGGAGGAAACTGAGGCAAACAGGGTTAAGTGACTTGCCCAGGGTCACACAGCTAGTAAGTATCTGAGGCCAGATTTGAACTCTGATCCTCTTGACTCCAGGGCCAGCACTCTATCCACTGTGCCACCTAGCTGCCCCTACCAATATTACCAGTTTTCTTTTAATCACCAAATCAAATGGTCTTTCCTCACATCCTTTTTAACTTCTCTCTAGACTTTGACACTATGGATAACTATCTCCTCCTGGATATCATTTCCTTTCAAGGTGATGCTAACATTGCTCTCTCCTGATGCTTCTCCTACCTGTCTGGCAGCTCCTTCTCTCTGTTTTGCTGGGTACTGATCCAGGTCACACCTACTAACCATAGATGTCCACCAAAGCTCTGTCTGGGACCCTCTTCTCTTTTCTCTCTATACTATTTCACTTGGTGATCTCATCAATTCCCATGAGTTCAATGATCATCTCTACCCATACAATTCCTAGGTCTATCTATCCAGCTCTAATCTTTCTCCTGAGCTATAGTCCCACATTACCAACTGCCTTTTGGACACTTTAAACTGGATGTCCTGGAAGGCGTCTTAAACTCAACATGTCCCAAACAGAACTCATTATCTTTACCCCTAAACCCTCTCCTTTCCCAAACTTCCCCGTACCCAGTCATCCAAGCTGGAAACTTTGGTACCATTCTCTACTCCTCAGTTTCCCTCACCTCCCATATCCGATCTGTTGCCACACTCCTCACGGCATCTCCAGTCTTTCATAACACCTTTTTGCGTATACCTCCTTTCCTTCATTCACCCAGCCACCATCTTGGTACAGGCATCCAGCACTTCTCACCTGTCCCTGCAATATCCTTCTAATTGTTCTCCCTGCCTTAAGTCTCTCCCCACTCTAGTCTATCCTCCGCTTGGTTGTCAAAGTGATCTTCCTAAAGAATAGGTCTAACCATGTAAACTAGCCCTGTTGGTCATTCAACTCTAACTCCAAAGGGGAAGGGAAGAGAGAAATAAGCATTTATTTAGCACCTCCTGTATATGAGGTGCTATGCTAAATTCTTTATGAATATTTCATTTGATCCTCACAAAAACCCTGTGAGGTAGGTGCGATTATTATCCCCATTTTACAGTTAAGAAAATTGGGGAAGACAAAGGTTAATTGAGTTGTCCAGTCACTAGTAAGTATCTGAGGTATTCAGGTCCATCTGACTCCAGGTCCAGCACTCTATTATATGCCCTAAGTCCTCCTGCATTTAAAGTTCTTTTGCACCCTGGCCTCTTCCTTCTTACACTTTGCTCACTTCCACATGTGCTATGACTCAGCAATACTGGTCTACTTGCCATTCCTTGTCTCTTCACTCTGCCTTTGCCTAGAATGTTCTCCCTTATCATTGCCACCTTGTTGTTTTCTGATTTCCTTCTAGTATCAGCTCCAATCCCACCTTCTGCAGGAGGTCTTGCTCAGTCTCCCTAGTTGCTAGTGCTTTCTCTCTCGCATTATCTCCCATCTACCTGTTTATATCTTGCATGCCCCTAACACAGTTGTTTGGAGCAGCCAGGTGGTACAGCGCATAGAGCACTGGGCTTGGAATCAGGAAGACTCATCCTCATAAGCTCAAATCTGGTCTCAGACATTTACTAGCTGTATGACCCTGGGCAAATCACTTAACTGTGTTTGCCTCAGTTTCTTCATCTGTCAAATGAGCTGGAGAAGGAAATGGCAAACCACTCCAGTATCTTTGCCAAGAAAAGCCCAGAGGGGTCATGAAGAGCCTGGGGAAAACTGGGCGGCACCATAGTGCACAGAGCCTTGGGCTTGGAATTAGAAGACTCATCTTTGTGAGTTCAAATCTTGCCTCAGACACTCACTAGCTGTGTGACCCTAGGAAAGTCACATTACCCTGTTTGCCTCAGTTTCCTCATCTGTAAAATGAGATGGAGAAGGAAATGGCAAATTACTCTCAGTATCTTTGCCAAGAAAACCACAAAAGGATCCCAAAGAGTCTGAGGACAGCTAGGTGATACAGTGGATAGAATACCGGGCTTGGGATCAGAAAGACTCGTCCTCATGAATTCAAATCCACTTACTAGCTATGTGACCCTGGGCGAGTCACTTAACCCCGTTTGCCTCAGTTTCCTCCTCTGTAAAATGAACTGGAGAAGGAAATGGCAAACCACTCCAGTATCTCTGCCAAGAAAACTCCAAATAGGGCCATGGAGAGTTGGACTCAACTGAAACTACAAGTGTAATTGTTATCTTGCCCATTGGAATGTGAACTCCTTCAGAATAGGGATTGTTTTGCTTTTTCTTTATATCTCCAGCTCTTGGCACATTGACTGGCACAGAATAAATAAATGCTCGCTGACTAATTGACCTCAGTTATATAATATCACCAGAAGAACATTGCTATTAAAAATATAGACCTTTGTCTTATGAATCATTAAAAGAACTTTGTCATTCCCCAAAGAAAATCCCACCTATT